TTCTACTCACCCCCATGCTGAACAACACTCTGGAGTACTTTTTTGATATCTCAAATGCATCTGGAGATCTGGGAGGCTTCTTGCTGTCTGCTGACATTCAGATAATGGAGGTCTATTATGCCCGAGGCAGAAAGGTCCATAAAAGTCCACAAAAAACGTGTCAATATTCCTCCATACTGCTCGTCCAATGTATTCCAAGTGTCCTGAGTGGGTAGCGTCCATAATTTACTCGAAACGAAGTCATTTAGAATGTTTTTAGAGCATAAACAGTAGTGTATAGGATTTCCTAAAAGCGCGTTCACGACGCTACGGAAACCACGGCAGACCAAACCAGACGAAAGTGCGCATTCAGCTCGGCAAAGAACTCATGCTCTTCCTCAACACTGAAGTCCTCAGACATTTTTCTTTTGTTGGTTCTTTCTTTGCACAGGTAAACAGCACATTTCTTCTTCTACGCTTGTATTATCGGCAGAGCAGACGCTGAATGCGCACTTCATCTGGTTTGGTCTGCCGTGGTTTCCGTAGCGTCGTGAACGCGCTTTCAGGAAATCCTATACACTACTGTTTATGCTCTAAAAACATTCTAAATGACTTCGTTTCGAGTAAATTATGGACGCTACCCACTCAGGACACTTGGAATACATTGGACGAGCATTATGGAGAAATATTGACACGTTTTTTTGTGGACTTTTATGGACCTTTCTGCCTCGGGCGCCATGGACCTCCATTATTTGAATGTCAGCAGACAGCAAGAAGCCTCCCAGATCTCCAGATGCATTTGAGATATCAAAAAAGTACTCCAGAGTGTTGTTCAGCATGGGGCTGAGTAGAAAATGAAGGCTAATCATGTTTTGGGTGTACTATTCCTTTAAGGGGAGATATGAACGTTGCCTCCTCTAATCTGGAATAAAAACTAAAGAAAATGGAGTGGGCTTAGCAAACAGGCAAAAAATAAAGAAGATATAGGTGCAGCATTTAAAAAAATAGAAACGACATTTCACTTGAGTTTCCTGTGTAGGATTTGCTTCATTGTATATTATCTTTGTGACCATGAAAGAGCCTTTTGGCTTTTACTTTTGCTCTGATTCCAAATTAATCTAGTTGGCAGTTGCTGCCTGACAAGACAAAAAATATTAATTTAGAAATGACAAAAGTAAACAATACGGTAATTAATTTAACACATTTCATGTTTTCCTTGACAGCCATTTGTTTTTACTCTTGGTCAATTCTTTTAGCTTGCATATTAGGGCTGAAACAATTAATCGGAATAATTGTGAATAATCGATTTTTGAAATAATCAACTGATTTAGTAATCAAGTAATCGTTAAATTAAAAATAATCAGCAGATTAATCGATTCACAAAATAATCATTAGTTACAGCACTATTCCATATAAAGTTTTTTAGAAGTCTGAAAAAAAACGTGATTTCCAACATTATGCATATATTGAGCCTCTATGTTTTTCACTGTCACCTTATATCAACTTTACAACCATACACCAAAAAACGTGCTAGGTGCAGCTACAGCTTCAGCTTTTATGGACTAATTAACACAATGATTCATACATTCAACTTTTTTTTTTTACTTTTAAGCAACTTGACCTTGTGCTGCTCTGACACATCAGCCATGTGCATTAACACTCCTCCATTAAGCCGAATAGTTGTTTTTTTAGCATATGGTACTCTCTAGACATTCATGGGAGACTCAGCTAAAAGCCTGATATGTCAGGTATGCAGAAACTGGGTCATTGGTGAGACCCTTTGCAGGAATCTCAGAGCAAGTTTAGAGCCTAATGGTGATAGGTGCAAAAGCTTTCCAGCTATGAAAGCAAAGAAGAAAAATGGCATATGACATCACTCGGCAAAAGGAAAAACAAATTCAGGCTTTCACATCAAAGTGCCACTAGGGTAATTTATCACTGACAGGAAGAGAAGGATGTGGGAACAGTGGGCAATGGAGAGGAGATGGCAATGGTGTGAAAAAAGCTGGCCCACTCATAACATTTCTGATTTGAAGTTATGCTGTGAACAGAGATGGATGCTGATGGATTGAAATAAACTATCATCTTATATAATTCGCCTGTGCATGTGACATAATTTCCTAAAGGCCTAATTTTGTCCCACTAAGTAAAAATTTATTATATGCCATCCAGTTTTGTGGAATGTGCATCTTTGGTTATGGGTTTGACTCAATCTATAGTGGAAGATATACAGTACAATAATAAATAAATTGTCTGCCATTATTTTTGAAAACTAGAGATGCTCAGAAAGAACTTTAATGTCTGGATTAAGAAAACACAGTAAATAATAACAAAAGATATATTTTTATACTCTCTGGATGAACTGAAATGTTTTTGTTTTAACATTATTGGCTCGACCAGACTTAGAGAGACAGTATCTAGGTGTTTACTGAATAATATTTTTGAAATAGTTTTTTTTTTTTTTTTTTTTGACGGTTTACAAATAATGTATTTCGAGTAGAAAGTTCCTGCAGAGTTTCTGTGGATGTGACTGCAGTGAGTCCATGTTGAATGGGTCCAATGTAGCAAACAATCAAAGCATTATATTCAAGATGTATTTTGTGGGTCCTTAGAAGCGACCAGCATGCAGGAACAACTCAGACACCAATGGGAACTCAACGTAAGGTGGGAAAAAGTGAAAAGAACAAGTGAGCTATGAGAACGAGCACAAGAGAGCTGCAGTTCTGTGTTTTGGCCATGTGGCAGTATCATAGAAAACTCTATGATGTCTCTTCAAATAAAAATGACTTAAATGAAAATCTACAAAGATTGTCTCCAGGTTACCGATCAGACATATTTGAATAAATTAAAGTTAATGAAAAAGATGGATTGTAGTAATTTTTTTATTTGTTTGATGGATTACTGATGAGCAGTTTATTTTCAATCAGTTCAATTCTTAATGTTATTTATCTACACAGTTAATTCCAAATAAATTACTGCTGTGTCTAACCTCATATTTATAACACAAAAACTTACAGTAACTGCTATGTGTTAGATTGCTGAATTATTCGTTTATTGTCTTTACCCACAGATAACCTTTGACAACCTTTTAGATTAGTTTTTATTTTAGTAAGAAAAAGGTTTGAATTAGAAAGCATTCATTGTTACACAACGATGTTGTGCAGAGGGTAAAGAACCTTTTCAGCAGGATATCTGACACCTGATGAATCTGATGGTGTCAGTATTAAAACCTGATACTTTAGGTTATTTAAAAAACTAATAAAGGGAAATGTCAAGAAATTAAAAGTAACTTAAAAAAAACAAAACAAATAAAAAACAGCAGGATTTGGAAGACAATAACAATACAGGCCATTTAAAGAAATTGTTTTATTAATAAAAGAGAAGCACTTCTGTCTGGTTTTATGGTCTGGACCACATGCAGACTTTTTTTAAATTTGATGTTGATCACTGGTTCATTTGATTTTACATTTACAACTTGCAAAAAGTACAATAAGGAATCAAATAAAACAAAACAGGTAAGTCTGCCTTTAAGCTGGTTCAAATATTCCTCCCAAAAGTCTTTTGTAATCTGAATACATCCTTAAAGCTGCAGTCTGTAACATTGAGAAGAGAGCAGACTTCGACTGAAAATTTGAAGAAAAACAGGTTTCACGCCGCTCCCCCACCCTCTCTGCTTCACTCATGCCCCACCTCCAAGCCCCACCCCTCTCACAGCACCTGCGCAGCTACCGCATGCGACCAGAAGCGTCCAAGCAGCGTACGCGGCATGGAGTGTGAACCGGTAAGAGCGATAACACTCACCTCCAAGCAGCTAGATATAAGATGCTGGTTATACCGAAGTTTGCCGTGTAAGCAGTTGTCGGCAGGGGCAGTAAGGGCAGTTTCTCTCTCGCTGGTGGCTGTCGCTCCGCCATGACTTCCACGCGCGTCCTCCTGACTGCGGCAGCCGGGCGCTGCGGCAGGTTAAGCAGTGAGGGGGGGGGGAGCTGTGATTGACACTCCATCAGACGCTCCTCTGGCTGTGATTGGTTGTTTTGACTCGTCCCGAATTATTCTTTCCAGATAGCAATACAGGCAGTAGGCGGGACCAATTGAAGCAGTTTTTTTCACAGGTTACAGATCACATGTACTGCTGTCTGGGCATAGGGACAGTTTTAGCCAATATGACAAAAAAGTGATTTTTAAAAACTTACAGACTTCAGCTTTAAAGTGACCCTGCTAATGAATCACTTCTGGTTTGGTTAAAATAACTGCCTCGCAGATCTGACGCCTCGAAACATGGAGTCTAGGCAGAAGTTCAGCTGAATAAACTGATTGCTCACCTTCAGCTGCCTAGAACACTGCCAATCAGCTTTGAACCACACTTCCACGAAAGCCAATCAGCATCCAAAGTTCATCTTAAAAGTCCTCCGATCCGCAGCTCGTCTGCTACCTAGTGTGTAGATAAAACTTGATCAAAGTTTAATTATTTCGGGACTCTTACTGCATTCCGTGTCTCATTTCAACTGATCCAACAGAAAACCTTTCCTCTCCACTGTCGCTTCATGCTTGCTCATCATGGACAGGCTCTCTAAGCCTGTGTTATCCAAACTGGACTTCCATCTTCCAGGTCCTTGAGTGAAGCTCTAGTATCAGTACATGCAGTCCACTGGAACACCCCATAAAGCTTAGCATACCATCTCTCTAACCAGCAGTCTACAGACTGATTAACTTCATCTATCTCCACTCCACCACCAGTTTCAGGCCTGGGGGGGAAACAGCCCTATTCTTTGCTCCTGTTGCATATCTAACAAAATTCAGTGCTATGTTTCCTGCTGAGGTCTGAGCGCCAAAGACCAAGTAATTGTATCAATACATTTCTTCTAATTGTCCTTTCTATCCATGTGAGTTTTTCAGATTAAAATGTTCTTTACTAAATCTACGTAAAAATTCCACATTGCAGTTTCATTGGAGCATTTCAAATTGGTCCATATCACTCACAAATACTCTAGATGTGTTCTGATATATATTTTTTTCTGTAGGGCTTATATGAGTGTGAAAGAACTAAAGGATGAGTTAAACCTGAGCGGCAGCGACACACTCAATGTGTTTTTTGCCAGCAACTCTGTACGAGAAGACCTGGCAGGAGCAGCAACTTGGCCATGGGCAAAGGAGGCCCTCACACACCAAGGTCAGTTTTATCAATAAAACGAAATATAGAGCTGATTATGATATCATTCCCATTTATGGACTTTGTCTTTAGTTCTATAACATTTTTTCTTAGTCGTTTTCCATTATTAATAAGCTTTAGATTTTCAGCTATTGCTTAGTTTTTTGACTAATTTCTTTGTATCACTTTCTTTTAGTCAAACAATAAACATTTTCCTTTCCCCTCCAATCTTTTACAGGCAGCATTGAAATAGATGAGAGCAACAAGTATTGACATATATAGAGGGGAATTTATCTCCACTCTGAAGTCTTAGGGAAATCATTTTAAGATGGGACCCCATTAAAGTGTTGTCATATTTTATTGAACAATAAACTGACAAGCACAACTTTATTCTCCCTGGTTGCATTAACAATACAACACACAAAGGGGAATTGATTTAGTAGGTCATTTAAATTTAGGTTAAAACTTTAGTTTCAAGTATTTGCATTTCTGTTGCAAAAAATGAAAGATAAAAACTTTCTGTTATGGCTTTAATCAGCGCTTGCTATGAAAAAAATCTTAGTGGTGATGCAACAGAGTATCAAACAATCATCTGATTGGTATTTTGATTGAAAACTTACCGAGTGACCTACAGTAACTGGCTCAGGTGATATTCAGGTGTAGAACAAATAATTTCACTTTAACCTTGTTATTTTAAAGAGTTTGATTGTTTTAAGCTACAGCAATATCAACAAAAGAATCAAAACAAACATATAGACCTGACCTACCTGACAGATAAAACAAAGGATATGAAAATAGCTCTTATATTTAGGTCACACTTAAATGGGCGTCCATTTAAGACCCACAGTGCTTTGTGATTGTACTCCTACCCTGTTAAAAAGTTGAAAACTCAAACTTGAATGTTCTTTATTAAGATTTTATTTGAAAGTCCAACACAAATTAGTAAAGAAATGCACTGTAAATATATATAATATGTATGCTAAACAACCTGACCAACCTAATAATATCAGATGTCCAATAACATTTCCTTCAGAAGCCTCACCTGACATCACTGTTCATGATATTTTTAGCTGAGCTAAACAACTTTCCCTCTCAGACATGTACAGTACTGCCTTGTAGGGGGCGATAACGCACTGGTTTCTATACTTTCTATTCAGGGAAGAGGCAGAGGAGAAGAATAGAACAAATAAAGTCAACTCTCACTAGAATATCATATCCACATTGTTAAAACCACAGATTTTACCTCTGCTGTAGCTTTTAAAGGTTTCCTGTTTCATCTTCTGCTCATGATCTGATCTATCATTCTCTTCATCTACTACAATGTCAATAAACAATGTAGTAAATAAAATAAATGTATTTGAAATGTCATGTTTGTAAGTGTTTTATACTGAATGTAAGAAAATTTGTAAACAGTTGAGACTGTCTTGTTTGTTTTGGTTCGTCACAGTTAGAAGATCATCTCATTCTCACCCATTTTTTATTTATACGAAACCTTGATATATTTAAGGCTTACAAAAAACACTCTGAATGAGTTCCAGTATCACAAACTATTTATTTATTTATTAAGATGCTGCATGCTTGACTTAATAAATCCTTTTATTTCTATTTAGTTTTATTTCATGTACAGTCAGATTATATTTTAAACATACTGTTGTTCTCATGCATTGCATAGGTGGGATGGTCCTCAACCCATCCTACTTTGGTACTACGGGCCACCAGAACACAATGATCCATGAGATGGGGCACATATTTGGACTGTACCATGTCTTTAAAGGGGTGAATGAGAGGGAATCCTGTGATGACCCGTGTCAGGTAGGACATGCTTCTGTCTCTGAGGACGCTGTTGATACAGTTTTCATGCACATTGTATGTTGTCCTTCCTTCCTTCCTTCCTTCCTTCCTTCCTTCCTTCCTTCCTTCCTTCCTTCCTTCCTTCCTTCCTTCCTTCCTTCCTTCCTTCCTTCCTTCCTTCCTTCCTTCCTTCCTTCCTTCCTTCCTTCCTTCTGATTTTTGTAATTTGTCAATTTAAAGTATCTTAGAAATGGTCAAAAAAAGATTGAGAGCTGTAAAGTTTGGGATTTAGACATGAAAAAGATGTACTTTCTATCTTTTTTTTTTTTTACAATAAAAAAAAAAACTGAAATCCCTCCATCAACCATTATCTAATTAGGTTAAAACCCAAGTAAGACTAAGGTCTCTCTTACAAGATTATCCTGGCCTAGAAGTTAACAGCAAGCACTCTAGAAACACAAATCACTCAAAATAAAAATAAAATTTTAAATCTAATGTGCAGCTTTCCATAAACATTAATTCTGAATAAGCAGTACAGTTGAAAATAAAGTGCATAAACTGTCAACAATATTGACAATCATTAAATGTTAACCTTAGTGTATCGTGTGTTTTCCTAGGAAACAACCCCATCAATGGAGACAGGAGATCTGTGTGCTGACACAGCACCAACCATCAAATCTAAAGCCTGCCAGGACCCCGAAGCGTATAACGACTCCTGTGGATTCACTATCTACCGTAACACGCCATACCGCAATTACATGAGTTACACAGGTATATAAAGAACATCTTAATCTTTCTATAGGAAGAAGGCAAATTATTGTTCAAAACAAAATGTACTGTATATACATGTATGTAATGCTTAGGTCATTTTTGCACAATATATCTTACCTGTGGCCTATTATTATTTAGATTTTCAAAAACACTTTTTTTTCTTTTTTTGTTTATCACATCTCATTAGATGACAACTGTACAAACCACTTTACACCCAATCAAGTTGCCAGGATGCATTGTTATCTTGACTTGGTCTACCAGAAGTGGCTGACAGAAAGTCACCCTGCCCCTGTTCCACTTCCCCCGATAGTCACTGGACAAAGTACTAACTCTGTTTCCATATATTGGCTCCCACCCATGAGAGGGTCCCTTTTTCGAAGGTATGTGGACCTTATATTACCTCACGTGTTATCATTTCTAAATCAGCCTACTGTAATTCTCTTTTTTCTTTTCTTTTTCTTTTCTCATGTATACTGTGAAATATCTCCCCACGGAAATGTGCTATATAAATGCCTTACTGTAGTACTTGAGGTACCGGTAAATAAAGAGGAAATGGTGCGCAAATAGATAAGTGTTGAAATGTCTTCAAACCAACTCTATTAAAAGATGCCTACTATCTTTTTCTTTACTGTCTGACCATAAATCAAACCAACATATACTTGTCTGACATCGCCTAGGATTATATTATTTCTTTTTGATAAATCCAAGAAAGATTAGATCAGTAAGAAGTTTACTCAAGTACATAAGGATTACTATACATTACATTATGAAAGAGGCTCAATTTCCTGATGGTATTTGAAGTTCTTTAATTAAATCTTCCAGCCTTTAGATTATATATTTCTCCGTTTAACCTTCACATTAAAACAGACTCTAAACTACCCATCACCTTCTAATGACTATATTGTATTCTTAGTCTTGTCAGGAATATTAATGGATGGCCTAATTATACTTGTGTATCTTAGTTCCCCATTTGATGTGTCTGGCATTGACTGTGGAGACTGCGAGAAAGACGGTGTTTTCCACCAGTATGCCTTTCAGGCTTCCTCACCCCGTATCTGTGACACATCAGGCTACTGGACACCCGAAGAGGCAGTAGGTCAGTCAAAATGATTTGTTTCTGCTATGTTTGTCATGAATGAGTCTTTATGTCTTTCTAATTCATAGCCCTGTAGTTAGTAATAAAGGTTAATAGCACTTTTCACTTCATGGTTGAATTATAAACAATACTGGGGATGAAAAATCACCAGAGCTTCATCAAAACAGATTGTATTTCCATATCTCCTCAATCAAACATGTAGTGCTGAAAGGAAAGTTTGTGTTGGTAATGAGGCTTATGCTTGTTTTTATTCATGTTTCCCTGTCAAAACTGTAGCTGACCAAGGTAAACACTTTCTCTCATGTAGTTCTCATTACAGGTAGGTATTAAAAAGCCAGGAATGTGGCAGTTCCAGTTAAAGCTCTGTTTCAGTCTTGTGTTTCTCTAGCGCAGGTCAACTTTTCCTCACATTCACACACGCTTATACAATCACAAGCAGTCGAGTCCTTGTAAATTCTAGGTGCGTGCAAGGCTAATAGCTCCTGGAAGAGGAAAAAGCATAAAATCATTAAATGATAATAACACTCTGTAACAGACCTCTCTCTGTGTCTGTCTTGATTTGGCGAAAATAAGAACAAGGATTCTTAAGTGTACAGTGCTTTTCAAGGGGTTCCATATTCACTAAACCCTTTCTCATTTCATCATGTTAAATATACAAACTTCAAGGTTTGTTTGTATTTATTTTTTTAAGCTTTGCGTGATAGAACAACATGAAAAAAAGCATAAATGTGGAGTTCTAACTGAAAATATTAATATTTGGCTTCCTTTACTCTGATTCTCAACAACATTCCCCCCACATTCTCAACATTTAAAGGTCATCTGTTAGAAAATGTGCACTGCAAATTACCCAGAGCACATCATTTTCAATGGTGACAGCATGATGCTGGACAACCTTCAATTTACAGCCAGAGATACAATACAAAGGTTTAGACTGAAGCATATCATGGTTTAGAATGGCCCAACAAAGTCCAGACCCAGAAGAGATTAAGAATTTGTGAATTAATTATCAAAACTAATATTCATCCAGTCCAAATGATCCTATTCTTTTTACTATGATAAATGGGAAAAACTGTAGTTACTGTATTTGAAAATCCAATGGCAACATACCTGAAAAGCTGTAAGTGAGGTGAGAGGTGTATTTCTGAGGTACGAATGCCTTTGCGAGCCATTGTAGGGTTTTAATTGGGCTAGTGTTGTCCCTGTTGTAAACCCAAACATGTTTCCTGTACTTTTGAACAGCACACTTACCAATTATAATATTTTTGAAGAGGTATGGTTTCTTAAGACAAGTCAAATTGGGTGAGAGCAAGAAAGGAAATAAAATAAACAAGACACAAGGAGGAAATCTCAGAGAGGGAACACTGGAAATGAGCTCAACCAAAAAAACTGAAAGTAAAAACACAATAAGACTTTTCTTCTCTTCCATGGAAACTCTACCCAAATATGTGGAAATCCTCTGCTGGAATTTATGCTTTGAAAACAAGCGGCAAAGAGAAGCAGGGGGATTACAGCTACCTCTTTCGCTGCGGGATCATAATGATGATAAAGAGTCAATTACAGTCTTACACTAAACAGAGGTATGCACCTAACTGGAGACAGCCAGTCTGTTAGGTTTCCTCACTTCCATCCCGCTGTGTCCCATAAAGACAGTGTCATCTAAAGTATCTGCTGAGTTGCCCAGTATGACCTTCAGCCAGAGGCAGGGAAAGGAAATTTTAACAATTCAGTCATCTCAAAAGATGATCCTGGCCAATTGTTGTGTGCTTTCTCGGCTCATTTGAGTCAAATTTAAGAGCTTGTTTCAAGTAGATATTTCCTCTTTGAGGCAGCAGAAGGTTTCATGCAGTAATTGAGGTTCCAACCGCCCCGCAGTTTGAAATAAATCTGTTTAAAGGCGATAGATAGAAGTCTCATTCATCTTGGCCATTAGGTGGCGTTCCAGTGCTCACGCCGCTTTTGTTCCATACTGTTTGCCAGCCGGTTGCCAGGTCTGCTGTGGTCAAACATTGAGCCTACCCATTCAGAAGAAAAGCGGCAATGTATGTATGTGTACTCAGCCCCTTTGCTTTCAGAAGTCAGTACCAGCGCTCAAAATTTCAGAGATTTTATTTTTTATCTTTATAAGTTGTGTATTAAAAAACAATAGAAAATTACCAAACTTTTTTTTGTGTGTGTTGAACCCGAGAAAAATAACAGAGAATGAGCAGTTTTTTAGCTATATCAAGGAGTTGGTTGGATTTGGCAACGCCTGAGCTCCATCTCTCTTGACTTCAGCCTAATTTTCTTATTGGCGCAGAATTATTCCTTATTAAAGTCTACATAGTAACCAGAAGTAAATATTTGAATATTTTGGACCCATTATTTATATACTGTTTTTTCAGTAAAGGCAATACTTTTGTTCTTCACCAATATAGATTTTAAGAGAATGTGTTATTATTTTATTTATTTTTAAAAGCGATTAAAGATAAAAGCATGATGAAAGCAGGTAGTAAAAGAAAACAGTTGTAACACAATCTTAAACTAACGATTCTTCAGTTAACAGCTTAACTTTAACATTAAAAGGCAGTTCTGAACAAATGCACTTTTACAGACTCCTCAAAGTTTGTTCCAGATAAGTGGAGCATAGGAACTAAATGCCGTACATCCTTGCTATCCTAGAGCCAGGCCTGTTTTTTGAACTCTAGCTCCGGAGGCTCATTAAGGCTCAGCCCAAAGAAACTATAAGAAGTCCCCTAGATGTGAACCTACCATCTGACTACTAACTGGCTTTACCTAAGAAATGCAAATGAGCAAATGCCAAGACCCTAATAGGACAGTTGGCAGGAGTAACAGGAAAACTAATCAAATCCAATTGATAATCACCAAAATATTTGGTTTAAATCAGTGCACCTGTTATAAAAGCCAGATATAAATTTTCATATATTTTGTTCCTAACATATTAATAGTCAACTGAATGGTGTGGGTTATACGCACCATTAACTAAGTATGTACAGCCCTGGGGGAGGGGTGGCCTAGTGGTTAGGGAATAAAGCTTGGAACCCTGAGAGACTGAGTTCGAGCCCCACTCCCACAGGCTGCCACTCTCGGTCTCTAAGCAAGACCCTTGACCCCACACTGCTCCCTGGGCGCCGCACAATTGTAGCCCACTAAGGGGATGGGTTAAATGCAGGGGTAAATTTCTCCAATAAGAGATCAATAAAGTGAAATTATTGCAAATTTATGGATGATAGTTCCAGATGTTTGGAATTTTTGCAGAGGTGAGGTATAATTTTGAGATCCGCTTGAGCTTGGGAAGAAATTAAGCTGCTGTTTGGCTTGATGTTTTAAGCTTCATTCCAAGCAGCTGTTTAAAAATAAATGTTTAAGGTTGTAATGTTTTGACTGAAAGAGTCAATCCTATTTAAGGTTAGCATTTTTTAGATGCTGATTTGGTTTCTAAGCAATAAAATATTGTGTTAGTCTTTAAGCTTGATTATGCATTCACATCTTAAAAATGTAATGTACAAAAACAAAAAACTTAATTGCTTATTCACAATGCCAAAATGTCCATAAATAGTTGCCTATAGATTTTGCAATAAAAGGTTGCCCCCCCCCCCCCCCCCCATTCTTTCAAGTATGAACCTTTTAATTTATTTATTTTTTGTGTAAACTATTAAAATTTTTTTTATTTTAATCAGATGTTCCAACAAAAACACCACTTCTCACAGTTTTTTGTTGCTCTGAACAAGCTTTATTTGTGTTCTACCCAAGGGCCGCCTGATGTGGAACAAGCTTGTGAACACAGTTTGCAGGCCTGGAGTCCTGAGCTCATTCTCTATGACACCAACGTGACATCACCATGCCCCGAAACAGAGGGCTGCACCCTAACTCTACACTTCCTGCACCCTGTCATTCCACACAGACTCACACTTTGGGTAACCTATATCTCTGCAAGTAAGTATCAGCAGAAAGCCAACATGTGGCTTTGTGCTGCATAACTAGTGACTACTTACAAATGTATTATATATAAATGAGAATTTGAAAAAGATGTACAGCTCATTAAAACCTTCTCAGATGAATCATGACAGTTAAAAGGTATTTTATTTAAATAGGTGCTTAAAGGTATAGTGGATATTGTGAATTTTTGAAAAGACCCACCCTCTCCAAAAACGCCCATAAAACAACCCTATACCTGCTCCCGAGAGGGAACGCCTATTAAACGCGTGCGAGAGCATGCACAAGCCCTTTTCTCTTTGTGTAGGCTCTGTTTAAAAGTTACTGTTAGCATTGATCATACAAGATTACTTTAAAAAAGAAGATTTGCAATTTTTCCACCATATCAGACTCACCACCAGTAAGTGAAAATAGGGATGAGCACGTAGGACATCCTTGTGTAAACATAACACCAGAATGATTGACAATTAGAAGGACCACTTATTTTGATGATCCACCCAGAAAAAGAACATCCTCAACTATACCTTTAAGGCATTTTCTGTGAAGTTAAGAATACTGACTGATCTTAATAATCTCAATGTTTTCAGTACTCTGTTGTCATATTACCAACATATAAACACAATGTATTACAGCAGCAGTGGAGCTTTTAAGTTTTAACGTATTTTTGGTCTAAGATTTAAGCAATGTAAACCTCCTTCAAAATGTTGGGTAAATAAGATGTTATAAACTAAATCTTAAATGTTAAATTGAAAATAATGTAGTAGATCACCAAATTTATTTATAACCTAAAATATCATTAAATGGTCTCTTCTTAAAAACATTTTTCTTATATTTGTATTACGTAAATGTTTTGTTTAAAGTTTAAGGAGTCCTTGCCTGGAAATCTAACATTTCTATGTTAATAACTTGTGTGTTGCTGTTTGGCTTCAGTAAAAATACAAAGAATACAAAGAAGGATTTTAGGCCTTCACTTGAATTAATATAATTCATGGAATGGTGTTAACATTAGCCCATTAGTGCTTTCATCAGCATTGCACCAAAAAGGCTTATTCTAACAATCAAGTAGTCGCCAGTCTATCAGCATTACTGATGTGTAACTTTTTACCTATGAAGAAACTGGGTAAAAAATGGTAAACAAACCATGACTAACTGCTAATATTGCTAACTATACATTCACATGAACACACAGTTAAAATTCTCATGCGTATCCATGTGAGGAAAAAAATAAAAGCGTCACGAAAAGGGTCAAAATGCGCTCTGTTTATTTTTTTTCTCCTAAAATTATTAAACAGGAAAGCAATTTCAGATGGATTAAATATGTAAAATACCAGGTTATGGTTTCTTTAAACAAGATATTAACATTTCCATTTAGGTCAGGAAAACCCATAGGGTGTCATGAGGTATTCTATATTTTTTAATGTAACTGAATACAATACAATTGACGTCAAAAATAGGTTATGAATCCTTAAGAAAAAAGTGAATAACACAATATTACATGCATATATATATATATATATATATATATATATATATATATATATATATATATATATATATATATATATATATATATATATATATATATATATATATATATATATATATATATATATATATATATTTACTCTAGTAACTCAGATGACAGATATTCATAAAATGGTACTTTTTAATCTTACTGAAGAACACTTAATCCCACCTAACATACATATTTGTACCCTCTTCTCTTCACCTGTCCCAGACAACCCTGCTATAGCCGATGTTGAGCTGATTACTGATGCTGGGAACAGCATTAACCTTGGGCCACAGCATGTCTACTGTGACATACCCCTGACGTTGCGGCTCGAAACCAACAACATGGCAATATCTGCTATTAAACTCTGCACCTTTGATGAGAAAATGGAGATCGACGCAGCCATGTTGTCTTCAGGCCCAGGCAGCCCTCTTTGTTCCGGTTGCCAACCTGTGCTGTACCGAGTTCAGCGTCAGCCAGCATTTACCAGCAAATCCCCTCCGCCTCAGATGGAGCAAACGTTCACCGACAGGTAAAGGCTCAATGTTGGCTCATCCAGAAGACCTGATGTTTTCTTAAAGGATATAAGCCCCCAAATGCTAGCCTTTATTAATAAAGCCAATAGTGGGTAAAACCAAATCCATGTGAAATGAATTAGGAGGTGCAGTTGGGCATGGGAAAGTGGTATGACATCAACCAGAAATATGGCGCCTTGCAAAAGTATTTTTAGACCTTTTTCACATTCTTTAAGCTTTTAACTATAGATTTAAATATAATGTATTGGCCTTTATGGTTTACCTTAACAAAAGTGAATTGTGAATTGGAAAAGAATGCATAGTTATTAAAATCTCCTGAGAATAAATCTGAAAATTGTGCCATGCATTTATATTCAGTAAGTTGTACAACCACGTTTTCATGCCAAAGTTTCTGTATATGAAGAGAAATGCAGGTCCAAAAGTCATGAGTAAAGTCAGCGTGACCTGTCAAATTTTACTTTATGATAAAATGTCAAACCTTTTTGAACTCAAATTCCTGTAATTGAGACTACTGACATAAAAAACATTAGTCCACCAACAGCTGAATCTGTAATATAAACCAATGTTATTTTGGGACAGTTTTGGATGTCAGACCGTATCTGCTGTAGTAACTTGAGCTCTACAGCTCAGAATTTGGCCAAGCATTTAAAACAAAAGTAAGCCTGTAGTAATTAAGAAGATAAAAACATAAAAATAAAAAAAAGAAACAGAGTCCAGCCCTGTATAGCTGTGTTTAGCAATTAATATATCCTTATTTACTGGTGCCTTTCAAAAACATTTAGTTTTATTAAACCTTTTATATTGTCTTATCTTACATCCTTAAAATTGAATAATTTCGACAAAGTAGTGCATTAGTGTGAGCTAAAAGGGCAATTATTTGTGGTTTCCAAAATATTTTTATCCTAAATACTGCAAAGAGTGGTGTGGTATTGTATTCAGCTCTATTTATTCAGGAAGGTCAGTTTTTTTTGTTTTTTTTTCTACCTAACTACTGCTTTGAGCTTCTCAACAACATTCTCCCAGATCTGTCTGCTGTGCTTTTTGACCTCATGATCCTGTTTGTTCTCTAACGAAATCAAACAAATCTCCTGGATCTTTGCAGAAAACCTGTATTTCTAAACAGATCAAATTACACTCTGCACCCTCTATTAAAAGGTCTAGTAATGAGGTTGATTCTAAACAGGGTCGCATTGGATTTTATTTAGGGGCAACAAAACAAAGGGGTCTGAATTCAAATATCATTGTTGGTCCTCATGATGGGTGTGAGCTTTTTTGTATCTATGTCAATCAATCCCAGGTTTGTGTCTGTAGGTTGTGATAATTTGAAAAAGGTCAGGGGGTTTGAATACTTTTACCCTACTCAAAATAATAAAAGAATGGATCTTGAGTTAAACTTTGGCTAAAATACTTGTTCTTGCAAAAGATAAGTGCTGCGCTTAAAAGGAATAGCAAAAATGCTCTGTCTTTTGTAGCCAGTTATTTTTTTCTTTCTATTAGCTATGAATTATTAGCCATAATGTGAAAGCAGTACCAGCACATAATGTCATGGACACATTATAGTCGAACATATAAATTAGCTCACAGGAAAAGAGAACAGACAAAGATATGGCCATAAGCAAATTCCACAGCATGTCTCAGTGTATGTGTCCTCAGATTTACTAATCTGCAGACATGTCTTTTAAAAGTGTTTGGGTCTGGTTCTGTTTAAGAGGCTCAGAACACAACTGTTTCCAACAAGGGGATGCCGTGTGTAGCTGATCCAAATCTTTTTCAACAGCCATATACTTAATCAAAAGCTTGCCGGAGTTTCGGGCTGACTTGAATCCGTTTGTATCCTGTCTCATATTGCGGGGTGTCCAAATGATTACTGTAGTCCAACTATAACCACCACAAACTTTTCTTTTTTTATATAGGAAAGACCCTTCTCCCAAAATATCTGACATGTCTGTGCTGTAATTGTTTTTGTACATTTAGAGCTGGTTTGTGTGTGTGAGGATACGGCAGCTGTATCATATGATTGCAGATAAATGGATTTAAAATTGTGTGTTCTGGATTTCGGAGAAGCTGTCACTATTTTAAAGGGAAGGCGAGATGTTCGATGCGCGGAGCTTCAAAAAACAGCTTATTTTTCAGTGAACACGTCTTCTATGTTACACAAGCTGCATCTAAGTGCAAAAAGATGCAGGAGCCACTGGGAATAGAGTTATGTGGGATTGAAGAGGGCAGAGAGAGGTTGATGTGAGGAGAAGGGAGAATGTTTCAGAGCAACAAGCTTGGAGTAATGAGGGTTTGGGGTAGTTGAAAGAGAGGGAACAGGAACAGTGGCAATTAGAAACAATACATGGGGAGGGGGGGACATATTGACAGAAGTAGTGTTTTCTCAGATCAATGATTTTTACATATCATACAACTAAGGGATGCAGGTTATTGAGTACTGAATTAATCATAAATTGATTTATCTTATTGATTGACTAATTTATAAGCTGCCATTTTCCTTAAAACATGAGTTTTTTTCTTGTATCAAAAGGACCTATCATAAAAGAAATATCTTTTTAAGGTATGCTGAATTAAAAATAGTGCATTATGTAATTTGAACAGTTTATTGCACCTGAATGAATAAACAAAAACATTTTTTACACATTATTAAACCTATTTATAGAATCTCAGTAACAAACAATAACTAACAGAATGGTTTAGATCAGGCATGCTCAAAGTCTGTCCTTGAGGACCACTGTCCAGGAGGTTTTAGAGGTTTCCCTGCTCTAGCACAGCTGAATTTATTGACAACTGATTAAAAAGGCTTTTGCTGAATTGCAAACATCAGAATCAGCTGTGCTAAAGCAGGGAAACCTCTAAAACTTGCATGGCAGCGACCATTGAGGACCGACTTTGGGCATGCCTGGTTTAGATTATAGTTGTCAAACTCTAGTCTTGGAGGATCAGTATGCTGCAGTTTTTGGGGATGTGGCAACTCAAATAGACACAAATCAACTAACCAGACTACTACTTCACGGTTATGCAGCAATTTGTGTCATTCTGTGACGTGAGATATTATTGGTATGTCTCATTGATTCACAAAATGTGGTAAAAGTTCAAAGGTGATTAACACTTTCAAAAGTAATGTTTGTCAGGAATGGAAAATGAAATTTCCTGTTCTTATCTCTCTTAGCTCTGTTATTCAGGGAGTGAAGTACCAGTACAGGATCCAGGTGGAAACAGGCCATCTCCTCAGCTTCCCCTCTCCGCCTCTTGTCTACACACATGGACAGACCTACTGTGGGGACGGTGTCATACAGGGGTCTGTTCACTTACCTGAACTTTGGTTACTGGTTGAATATTTCCAAGAGAAATGGAGTTGGAAATAATGCTGCCGGTGATGTTTCTCTCCCTGCAGAACAGAAGAGTGTGACGACAGCAATCTGTTAGATGGTGATGGCTGCTCTAAGAAATGCCACAAGGAGACGGGCTTCAATTGTCATGGTGTGTACAAAAATCACTTCTCTGCAAAATAAAAGTCTGTTTGCACCGCTTCAAGCACAATACACATCCTATTGTAGTTTTTTGTAGCACTTTTTATAATGTCCCACATTGAAGAAAAAAAACAACCTCCGTCGTGCATATTAAACCTAAGCAGCATATAAACTTTCAGTGTGAAAGAGTAGTCACTAATCTGCCAAAAATCTCTCATTTGTGCACGCAGCAGCGTTTAGTAAAATCTATCCTGCCAATCAAACTACATTTACAAGACATAAAAGCTTCTGGCTTGACTGGATTCCACAAACCATTAATGCAACATCACAGCAACATAAGGGAAAACAGATGAGGCAAGGGGTAAAATAAGCAAGATTTTGGTTTCTTAACTTTTCATGGTTTTCTTTGAAAAGCATTTTGACATTAGCTTGGCTAAGATACACCAGAGGAAAAAACTCTAGTTAGCTGGAAAATGCACAGTTCTGTCTACAGTCAAATGTCATGCTGCTTTATTAATGTTGGTGTTTACCAATCTATACTGTCTTTCGTACCAATAAAAGAAATTGATCAAATATTTATGTATTTTTAATCAAAGATCAACCCATGAGTTAGATTGGATGTTTGAAAAAATCATTATGAGCAATGTTTTTTATGTTATGCCATCTCTGTAAACCAATATTAATACATTTTTACACTTAAGGCATCTCCCATTTTAGCTTTTCATCATAACTGAAATAGAACCTAAGTCTATGACTGAATTTGACTATCAGGTATGTTTTTAATAACTTTGCATGGATAGAGTGCAGGTGTTTCCCTACTGTTTGAAAAATAGCTTAAAGTCCGTCTGATAAGACGGAGTCTTTTTGTGAGCATCAGTTTTAAAGACCTGTCACAGTTGTTCCGTAAAAGTTTAAAAAACACTCCAATGGACTTGGTTTCCAAGATTGTAAGTGTCACAGTTGCTCAATGTAACTTCGATCTGGACTTTGATTGGGCCATTCCATTGAATTGAAACAAGGATGTTTAAAGTGCAGCCATTTCAATTCCTTGAAGGAATTCCTTTGTTTGACCCCAAGACTATGACTAACATTTTGTTTGAATATTGTGAGTTTAGTTTAAAAATCCCAAACTATTATTTGCATTTTCAACTTGAGATAATGTTAATTTGAAACTTTAACTAGACTATTTGGACCCATATCACAAAAACATTGAGCCACTTGGGCTATTATGTTGTAGCTCAATCTGAATGGTTTGGGTTGGTGCCGTGTTGGAAGGTAAGCCTCTGCCCCAGTCTAAGTTCTTATGTGACGCTATCACCAACTTTTATTAAAGTGTGTGCTTCCAGACTATAAGCTGCTCCTTTTTTCCCCACGCTTTGAACCTTGTGGATGATGCAAAAGTGCGGCTTTTCGGTGGATTTTTCTTCAACCGCCAGGGGGCGGAAATAAAGATTCGAAATTAAAGAAGAAAGCTGAACCAATGAAGCCCAATGTGTGTCTCCTGCAGAGCTGAAATAAAGAGCTGATGAAGCCCCATCTTTCATTAGAAGCTCTTACTGCCACAAGCCCCCAAGCTACAGGAGATAGTGCCCTACTTCCTCCCTACTCTATGGGTGATATGTAGAGCTCCCCATTCAGGTTAGGTAGGAACATTTCAGTAGATATCAAATAACTTATAGTCCAGTACGGATTATATAGGTACATTTCCAGTTTTTTTAAAAACATTGTGGTTGCTGCTTATGTTCAGGTGCGTTATAAAGTCCGGAAAATACAGTAGTTCGCTGTGCTACTTTCCTTCCCTCTATACAATTCATGCTATTAGCAAAACTTTCAATATAATTGTCCAGAACACCTTCATCTTAAAGTTTTATGGAATACTCCAAATGGGAAGTTTATTTGGTTTTAGACAGGGGGGATGTTTGGCAAGACTCTTTCACATTGAAGGTTACGGTTCTAATGCAAGAGCTTATGAAGGTATATTAAAACAGTGTTTCTGACAGATTTATTGAATTTACGGTAATTCCCTCTTTAGGTTCTGGCTGCAGGGTTTTATCACCAATCATCTATTTTGTGAAGTAAATTTTTTTACCGTAAAAAAAAACAGTCAACTGTAAAGGTTTAGGTCAATTTATAAGTAACTAGGTTTCAAAGAATATTCAATGATTAAATTTTAAACCTTTAATTTTGTTTGTATCTGATTAAACCTTACTGTCAAAGAAACATTTTTAAGGTTGTATCACATAAAGTTTGGTTCGGAGTGTTTATGTTGTTGTTATATATGCAGAATAACATTCTAATTTTAAAAGCTGTCTAAACCCCGGATCAGGTGGTTGGAAAGCTGTAAAAAGTACCCAAAGCATTCAGCAAAACAAGTCAAAAGACAAACAATTATGCCACAGAGAGTGTCCCTGTCATCTATGGATCCCACCACGAGACAAAAATGCTTTGTGTCTCCACCCTCACGCATGCAAACAGACCACAACAGAAGCCTCACGACAAAACACAACAGGGAGTTACCCGAAATGCTTTGAAACCCTAAAGCTTAAAACTTGTGTTCATTTTTGTATTATTATTTCTTCTATATTAGGTCATATAATAGATTTGTCTTCAATAATTCCCTCTGGCAGAGGAAACATTTTATTCCAGATAAGAACAGACATTAGGATGAGTGAAACAATTCATCAGCTCCTCAATTGTACCATGTTCCTTCTCAACAGATTTAAATGTATCCTCTGTATTAAGGTGTGTTTGCTCGGATGGCCTCTTTTTTTCGCCAGAAGCTCTGTCTCATAAATACTTGCAAATATTGCAGGGACTATGTGTGGGTCAGCTGAGATCAAACAGCATATTGCTTTTATTTTAAGCCATGTATTGTTTCCACTGGCAGCTGGATAGTAGTTATTCATGTATTCTGTAAAGGCTTATATTATGAGATCTTGTTACAAGGCCGAAATTTCCATCATGTAGTGAACTTATTTATCAGGGGAAAACAAGCCAAGGCAGACCTATAACCACAACCCCCCCAACAAAAAAACAAAACAAAACACCCACACACACTAACACCACAGTCTCACAATCATGCGTGACTGAAGCTATTACATCTCCTGTTATACAATAAAAGGCAGCATGACTAGGAAGGAAAACAATTTGGCAACAACAGATTTTCGCAAACTGCAACTCTTAAAAACAATTATTCCGCTTCACATCTTAGTCATAGAAAGAATATTTGTTTGGGTTTTCACTTACCATTCTCAGTTAGCAGTTTCCCTGTTTTGTTTTCTTTACTGAGTTCACCACAGTAACCACAGCACCCACTTCTGTCTATTACTGACAGACTTTTGCTTGTATCAAAGTATCTTATCCTCAATCTTACTGTTTTATCCAATATTATTTGTTGAGGAAATTAACAACCAATTATCTTGAAATTCAGAACTTTGCAAACATTTGTTTGACATTAGGCATTGTTGTCTAGATTTTAAAAGACAATGCTAAACATTTTGGCTAATTTTGTTGTCCTTTTCACTTTGTTAATAATTTGGCCATATGCTTTCTATACATAGGCTTCAAAGTCTATGCTGATGCTTGTAAATGTTTCCACATATGTACTTTTTTTTTTCTCACAGTGATATCTCTTTTGTGAAGTGCACCAGTTCCTCCTTGTGTAGTCCCTTCGCACATATCCATGTAGTCGGGATTATGCTCTGAGCCTTACAAGCTTCCCCCAATACATTCAAAATTAAACTTTAGTTGTCTCAGACTACCAACAATCTTTGTTCCTTAGTGTAATTTCAAAACTACAGTCTGGCTTTTTATTTTGAATTTAGATCATTTTTAACTGTTGATAGTGACACTCTCACCGTCATTAGCCAGTATCTTCACAAGATCTTTGTGTTTGTTCTGTGTTTTATTGAAATATTTCACAGTAAGACACTTTAATCTTCTGGAAACAAAACACTCACCTTTCTGAAAGGTATGATGGGGTGGTGATATCCATGGTGGGTTTACTTGCATATAAAAGTAAGACCAGATGATCATGGCACCTTCGGTCATCAGAAGTTGCAAAATTTTGCAAAACCAGAGGCATAGAGGCTTAGACATTGTGTGCATTCAATTTTCTTCTATTTGATCAGAGTTATTCAAATGGTAATATAAACAGAGTTAAAATAGAAAAAAGCTTGGTCTGATTTAGCATGAGAAAGTATATAAATTCACCTTTCTATAGCTATATAACTAAAAATGAAAAAAATAAATAAATAAATATAGTAGCCCAAAAAGTAGTTTTGGCTTAGAAAATTGTTGGCTGGGCTGCCCAATCCAAAAATTGCCCCTAAGGACCCCCTTCTCAGAGGCATAGCCCAGTATTACGTTTTGCAGGTTAACAAAGAAGGGGCATACTTGTTCTTCTGTTTCAATTTGCATGTTTTCTGAATATATATAAATGGGATATATACATAAATATATATAAATATATAAATGGGATATATCCCAGCCTGTGTTGCTCTTGTGATCATGATTTACTGTTTTAACAGCTTATATTGCCGTTTAGAGGATTTCTCATATACTCCAATATTTAAGACTTGCAATTAGTATTTTCTCAGAAATCAGGTAATTTTTGGTTTTAAAATACAGGGGAAACAGAGATCTTCTGGTTATTTTCTTCCGGCATTAATAACAGTTACATTTTCCCTCATGGATTCTTGAGGCACTATAAAGGCAGAGTTAATAAAAATCCCCAAAATAGGACAGGGCACAATAATAACACACTGTCTGTGTTTTCCTTTTCTACTGGACTTAGAACAAAAAGGGATGTTTGCTTTGACAGTTCTTTGTAACACATGATGTTATTGACACACAGATACTGAGAACCCACTGAGGCGCCTTTGAAATGAAAATAACAAGTTAAGTCTCTTATGAGGTTTATTAATATCACAAAGTCACGGTAATCTTTGATAAAGAACTAAAGTCAAAGTTCATGTCTTGCCATAATTTGTAGCCTGTTGACAGCAGAGGCATGGTTGAGCTGATGTGGCTAACATTGGAAGTTGCCAAAGAAAATACCAAATAGATTTACTCAGTTTTGGTTCACTGACAAACAGATTTAGATGATAGGCCGGCAGAGGGAGAGAAGCGTGCACAATGCCAGATGAAAAAAACAGGCTGTGTGTTCTTTCATAAATCTTATTCTCTTTCTTTTCCTTGTCTCCTAAGGTGAACCTAGTCAGTGTTATGTCTTTGACGGTGACGGTGTGTGTGAAGAATTTGAGCGGGGCTCAAGCGTGCAAGACTGTGGTTACTTCACACCTTTAGGCTACACAGATCAGTGGGCATCCAGTGCCTCGGCTTCCCACCAGGACCCCAACCTCTGCCCTGCTCAAGCTGCCACAGGGGAGCCATCCTTTCCAAAGGTACAAAGCAGAAGACAGAAATACTTAGAATCCAGGTTTATACAAATCCCTTTTTAGGAGAATGTCTGCTTAAATGTTAAAAAGATTATATTAGAGGAGTTTTCCTAGAAATCACCTCCTAACAGAAAATTCTTTCATGACTCAGAACAGAAGGATCCAGTTTTCAGGCAAGCAGATCAGAACAGGCAGGCTCAGAGGTCGAGGAGTCCGAAGCCAGGTCAGGCAAACAGGTCATTACAGAGATAGGTTCAGTGTTTGAGAGGCAGAACAGGTAATCAGAAACACTAAGGTAAGTTAATAAAAACACTCTCACCACAGGCTGGAGAGAAATAATCTGGCCCTGATGACTGCATGCAAGCACCTTAAATAGAGGTAGGAGCAGGTGGATCAGATGAGCAGTGATGGGAAACGGGCAGAGATAGACAGGTGAATGGAATGAGTAATTAAGCCGGTCCTCAGTGCCAAGATCACGACAAATACACTGGTAAGGGCCTACAGATTTAATCTAATTTAGGTTTGAACTTACAAAAGAACTCTTTCTGCACATGGATATGTTTTAATCAAATCCACTTCAAATTACTTTAAAGTTTTGGGTCTTTGTCCTGATTGAGGTTAAACCTCCACCCCAGTTTCTAAGTCTTTTGCTTCCAGTTTGTTCTTCAGGACCTTGTTGTATTCAAATCCTTTTCTTGTCCCACCAGCTCTGATCACTTGCCATTTACTGCAGATTTAAAACCTCCCTGCATCATAATACTGCCAGCACCGTGTTTTACCATGGGGATGTCGTGTTTATTATGCTGAACAGTGTGAATTCCCCATTAGAGGTTGACACTGGAGTGGATTTTCACTCCTGTCCCATCCCACTCGTACAGAAAAAAAATGTGTCCCGTCCCAATCCTTGGCCAGAGTAAAAATAAAGTCCTGTTCCGTGCCACTCCTGGTAAAATTACTCACATCCCGCTCCCATTCAGAATGATTCCCCTTCCTGCGGCACGCCCAATGTTGTCTTCATTAAGTCTTCATTGGCAATACATTGAACCTGAATTTCTATGAAGGGTCTATTAAGTTCCTGTTTTTAGCTATAGTAAAGGCCAGTTAAAGTAAAAGCAATAAAAAAATAATAATAATAAAGTAACAAGGAAACAGACCATGCTTATCTTATTTGAATAAATAAAATGCACAATACTGCCTTTTACAAATGTATTGTTTCCTTTGAACAATTAAGTTACTTTTAATTTTCAAATTGCTGAAACAAAAAAATAAAAATGCACCTAAAAAGAGATATATGCTTAATTAACAAAAAAGTGCATAAAGTTATTACATTACAATTTAGATAACATACATCACTGGCTCAAAAAGCTCGATATGATAAACCTCCAGACTTGCCCATTTGTAAGAAAATATCCACAAACTAATTAGGGTTTACTATCAGAACTAATATATTATTCGAACATTAAACATATTCTTGGATGAGTCCAGGAATCTTATATATATGTGTATATGTTTCTATGCAGGAACCAGAGTGCATCTATGTTCTCTGGACTGAGGTTTGAATGTCTCTCCTCAATCAGTCTTCCAGCTGCTCTGAAACTAAGCTCAGAAGGAGTACTCAATGCTGGGATTGCTAGAAGCTTCTTGGCAAGCTGGCACTAGCCCACCTGACCTCTCCTTCCAGAAGTCAAAAACAGACTGGAAGCATGTCCACTTGGAATTAGTCATATATACTCTAGGGCCAACTGGCAACCCCGTCACTCCTTAATACCACTGTCCTCCTCCCTTTCCTTTTAGCTTTTACCTCCTATTGGTTTGCTCCCGCTCCCTTTAATATGTAATCCTGTACCATCCCAATCACGTGATTTTTACCAATGCTGACTCCCATCCAGCAGGAATCCCATGAGAATCCCGGGACCCGTGGCATTGCCGGACAAATGTCAGTCTCTATTCCCCATACAGCTTTTTTAACTAGGGCATTCAAGAAAAACTTGACTCTTTGACTAGTTGTCTTGATTAGAGTCAATTTACATCTGAGCAACTTGAAAGTTCTCACTCCCCCAGCCACAAAAGAAGATAAGAATAATCACTTTAATGTAAAACTTTTCTACATTGTGTTTTGTCAAAATACTAAATCCACCACAATGCAGCCATATTTGCTCAACACTATTGCTTGCCAGTGTCCCTTACAAGCTTTCTTCCATCCATTGTTCCTCTCTTAGACCCAGTTATATCTAGTTGACTGGACAAAGCTAAAATTCCCTCTGTTTGCATAAAACGCCTTCTTCTCTTTCCAGTTGGTGATAAGTGGGACTGGGACTGTTAGATATAACTGGATTCTACATCCGCTAATTATGAATAAACAGGGGCATATGTGAACTTCTGTGAACCCAAACTAGAGTTAAATACCTGTAAAAATAAGGTGGGCATCCAATGCAGTGATGCCCTACACACAACACAAGCTGCTATGATTTTAGCATCTCACCTGTCTAGTGTTGAGCATTTTTTGGAGCCAGATGATGTCAGAGAAAAATATCTATACCGCAGAGGAACGGAAGACCCTTAAGGACAATACGAGCCATCACGGGAACCCATGCCAGCACCCATGTCTACATTAACATGCGTGCCACTCTATAATGGTAGTGATGGAACCATATTAAGCAGGCATTGGCGATGGAGCCAGATGGCTGGCTTTCTGAAGATAAAACACAATTTATTGTCAGATCTGTCACGGTTGGCCGATATGGCTTAAAAATGTAATCTCCAATTTTGTCCAACAAAAACGGATTAATCAATTGTTTTGCTTTCCACTTAAGTTTCATAATCAAAACAACAAATGACATGCATTGCATACAAGAACTTGCTTTCATTTCAATCATTCCTTCTGGGAGGGGACCTTAGTTTAAAGAGCAATAAAATGAATGAAATTCAAGCTCAACATGCCAGTAAAATAATCATGTTTCACAACAAACAATGAAAATATAACACTAAATGTTTGAAGCTAGAGGTATTATACAGTAAGCTAGTTTGTCAGTTTTGAGTACAAATTTAGGAACAGAACAGGAACTGATGTCTCTCTAAGCTATGGGAGAACAAGGAGAGCATTAGTGAAAAAAATCCAGAATTTCCCAAAAATAAAATAATCAAACAAGTTTTGATTTAATAATTTTCTTTATTAATCACCCAGACGTATGTTCAACTGAGCTGTGGCATGATGAGCAAAGCTCAGTGCCCTGGAAATTGTGACATTCTGGTGGTTTTTAATCATTTAATTTGTGTGTTTTTCAAGTTTTCATGCACTGGATGTTCAGCAAATGTGCTTTAGTAAGAGTCAAACATAGGAGTTTCTTGTTTTATTAAAGTTGTGTAAAAAAAAGTGTTGGTATCTAAAAATGATATTCAGCTCTAACAAGATATTTTAGATATATAAATAGAATTTTGCAAGTAAAAACACAAGAAATGTTCCTGTTTGTAGACGGTGCCAAAATGTGCTGAACTGTGCTTAAAGGCCAAGCATCAAAGTATGTATTTACTAAAACTTCTGTTACTGTAAGTTTACTTCAGCTGCATGAATATTTGCACAGGTAATGTCTACATGTGGATCTGGGGTTTCCAAATATTTGGAGCCTTATTCGTGATATTTCTAAAATGTTTATTTAGTATATAATTCAAGTAAATGGAGGGAAAAAATACTGTTTTTCTATGTTCCATCCATGTTGTCTCTTAAAGAATAGCAGCCGCTATAATACTTACACTACTGATTGAATCTTGGATAAAAATGTTTGGGTAAATCACCCAGCTTCAGCTTTTTTTTTTTTACACTAGGATTCATTAAGTAGTTTGTAACAGCTGACAAAATCTTGTTTTAATGCATATTATTTTGAGCACAGACCTCAAGAGAACCTCTTGGGGCTTAAGATGTTAAATAGAGGTTCTGTCAGAGTAAAACAGAACAAAAACAACCTTTAAGGTAGTTTTATTATCAAAGGATTACTGATCACGGAGTTGGCAAAAAATGGATGTTTTTGTGCTGCTGTGTCTGTAAAGGAAAGAGAAATGCAATAAAGAAAACAGATCCAAGAATCATGAATAAAGTCAGTGTGACCAAATCCTACTTTATAATAGAATGTCAAACCCTTCTGAACTCCCCTTTCTGTAATCGAGACAACTGACATGAAAACAACAGCATTATACCAACAGCTGAATATGTAATATAAACAAATGTTATATTAAGCAGATCAAATCTAGTAACATGAGCTTCACAGCTAAAAAACTGGCCAGGAATTTAGACAAACATGACCTGCAGTAATGTAGAAGTCAAAATTGGGAAGAAAGCAGGTCAATCTGTGTTCAGCAAAAATAATTGGCTTATTTGCAGAACCTTGCAAAAGTCTCTGTAAAAATCTTTTCTCATTTATTCACTTAACAACCTACAACTTCAGTGTTTTTACTGATTTTATTAGATGAAGAGGCACAAAATAGTAATTACTAGTTTCAAGAGTCACCAAATTATTAAATAGAGTTGGTCAAATCAATTCATAGTAGAAGTTAAAAGAGTAGGGTAATGAAACAATATACCATGCTTGGAATGTTTAATGGGGCTCTGTACACTTTGGAGAAAAGGTAGAGATCCACAGCTTCATAGGAAAATATTTGCTGACAGGATAACTTTACATAAGTATAGGACAGCAGATTCATAGAATAGGGTGCTCCTACAGTATCAGATGAAACTAGGACGCACCCAGAGCTACAGAAGTAGTTACATTGGCCTTGGTAAAAGTCCAGGCCTTGATTTAAGACTTGAAACCTGCACAAATGTTCTCCACGCAATCTGGCTTGGGGTGAATTATTTTGCAAAAAACAATGGGCAAAAGAAATTTACTTTCTAAATGTGCAAAGCTAATTTAGACATTCCCCAAAACATATGCTGCTGTAATCATAGCTTAAGGTGGTTTATGTTGACTCAGGGTGGCTGAATACAAATATACTCAGATTTCTATCTTTTTTAGAATCAAGGGATTTTCTTTCTATTTTCTTCTACGTCACAATCAAGAAATACTTTATGATCTATCCCTTACAACCCTTATGAAATGGATTAGATCATTTCCTGCTATTTTTCCAACATATTGGCTGAGTATAATGCTAACACAAAGCCATTGATTAATTAGTTTCCTTTCTCTTGTACCCTGTTCTCTCTTTTGTTTAAAGCTTTGTAGTTTTCAGCACCTGGAGTTGAGCGACATGCGCTCTGATGCATGGTTCCCGTGCACCGCCCAGTCTGACACAAATAATGGACTGGAACATTCTTACTGGATAAAGGTATGCGAACCTCACCTTGTGTGTTTACCCATGCGCTGAATGACTGTGGGTGGCTAATATGGTTAGATTGAGGGGATGGCTGGCTCGAACCTCTGTGCACGCACATATTTTTAACTTTCTATCAATTACATGAATCATACAATGCTTTTGTAACAATGATTACATATTTTCAAGGTCATGTAAATTGAGGGTTCTAATGATCTGTGGATAATTAAATCATGATTAACTCCCTCTTATTTTTTCCCTATAAGGTGTCCTTGTATTTTTTTACCCAGTGGGCATTAATCATCTAAACCTTCTAGTAGCAATCACTGCCGTTGTATTAATAGAAAAACACCAAGTGTTGCATAATTAACTCATTCTTCTTAATTAGAGAACAAAAAAGTTTCCTCTGTTGTTAAAATACTGGCAGATGAAGGGGTAATTGTTACAAAAATGATCATTAATAGGCCTTTTTATCATAATTGGTTCATTTGTTAGATTATGGATTTAACAAATGGTGTAGAATAATAAATCATTTACCAGTGAATACGACTACTTAGAATGATACATATTCATTTTACTCTGTCATTAAAATTGCATTATAGAAAAGCATGAAAAAAGAGGGACTTGTTATTTGGACGGGAAGGTTTTAATAGGATGCTCAGTCAGCGTTCTTATCCTGGTTCACGTAAAGGTATTCATACTGTTTCATCTTTTTAATATGAGTCACATTGTAACCACAAATTCCTTTTATTTTCCTGGGATTTAAGGTGAAAAAAAAATAATGCTACTTTTCAATTCAAACAGAACTAGTTTATTTACAGAACAATACACTCAAGTTGGGCCAGTTCTGCAGGCTCATTGGGGTTTAGTCAGGGACGGAGTGGAGCTATTGATTACTTTTGCAATGAACAATCTGTTGATTATCTGTTGAATCGTTTATTTAATAATACATACTTTTAGTGAGTTAAACTTGAATTAAAATCAAATGTTTTTAATTTTAAAATTCCAGATTCTACACACACCAAGACACATACATGCCTGGTTCTCAATCCTTGGGGGACTTTCAATGAACTTCCATTCATTTCTAACCTATTTCCACAGCCTAAATGTGACCCTTACCCCAACCCTAACCATTATGGGTTCAAACCTAATCCTAATCCTAACCTAAACGCAATTCAGACCTTAGTCTTAAACCTAACACCTAAGCCTAAAAAAGCATTTGTACCCATCGGGACATTGGTCACCACTAGAGCACACGGTCCTCACAATGTGCTTAGATTTATGAAAGATGGTCCACACTATGTAATAAATACACTCCCACACGTACACACACACACACACACACACACACACACACACACACACACACACACACACACACATATTTGTTCTGTTATGTGTAGTGATGACCATGTGTTGACTCCCATTGACCTCCATGGACTTTCAGTCATTCTCAACCCTTTTTACTCCCTTACCCTAAAACTAACCCTAAACCTAAAAAATACCAATGCATAACTAACCCTAACACAACTGACAGATTAGCCCTAGACCTTGTGAGGACCAGCAACATGTCCTCACTTTACAACGACTGGTCCTCATTGTGACATTGAAATTGTAAAAATGATCCTCACTCTGGTTTCTATACAAGTGCAAACCGTTCAATCGGTGTGAATACTTTTCCAAAGTATTGCACTTGCTTAGCTATTTATTCAATATATCTCAAGCATTCAGGATTGCATTTTGCTTTACATTGATTCTGACTTGGCTCCTTGTTTCAGACTTAATGTCTCGATATATACATAATATATGTATATTTTTCTCCAATGTTTTCATGGTTCAAGCCCCACATTTACATCAATCAACTATATGGTGCCAGATTTAGTGCAGACCAGCTGCTGATTTCATTGAAATCTCTCACAGCCTTGTCTTTTGTTCTCCGGACTGCAGGATCCCCTATAATTTTGGTTCTTTTCTTATTTGCAGATACTCAATCATGTTTATCTTTTGTTTAATGCTTTCCACTACTTTGTTGAATGGCTCATCTTTTCATCATCTGCTTTCTTTTTCGGAGGCCCTCTTTATCAAACCCGTCTCTGGAACCTCCATGCTAGGCTGTCTTGAAAACCCTTCATTATGGCACGTGTGTCTGCCAGCTCTGCATGAACCATCTCCTTTTCCTTTAGGTTCCTTCTGTCTCAAGAAGCTCCCTCGTCTAAAATTTCGAGTCTGGCTGTCTGAAAAGCATCCCTCAGCCTTCTACTCTCATCTTTCTCTGCCAGCTCTATAAAAAGCAGCCGTCTCAATTAGCCGTATTTTGTTTGGAAGAACTTTTGCTTTTCTACAAGGCTCTTAACGTTTCCTGGAAGTAATACTCTTAACTGATTTCTTTTGAGGATGACATACAGTCTGCTTACTTCAGAAAGGGAGAAAACTTTGTGGTGTCATCAGAGAGGGGGATTAAAGTTAGTCTAATTTTATTTCTGCATATTGTCATGAATTTCAAAACAAAGTAATCTACGTAGTGTTAGCCAACTCTGAGATATTTTATAGCCCCCAAATATTTACTGACAAGGTCATTGCATAGAGTACAATAACTTCTTTTGTAACCTCTTTTTGCCAAAAGGATGTTACTCATTCTTTAACATTTTACATGATTTGCACAGAGACTGGAATCTATAACCTTTTTCATAATCTCTCCAGATTACCCAGATTCCTGAGTCCTCCTTTATGCCCCCTTCTCTTCTGTACACTCTACAGTTTGGTCTGGTCTGACAATGAAGTTGGAAATGAGCTATATTAGATTTTGTATGTTGGAAAACCATGCTGTGTTCAGTGATCTTTATTCTAAGGCCTCTTTACTCTCTGTCCTGTGTCCATACCTGCCTGATCAATGAACACTAAATGCTTGAACATATTTCACCCAAACAATTAGTAAAATCGGTTTGACTTTATTGGTAGGGGCTAAGCTGACGCTTAAAGCCACTGGAGTGTTTTTAAACTGGAATCTTATGGTTTGGCTAGGAAACGCTGTCAACTCACAGCTGACTGTTGTATAATTCTTTTGTTTTGTAAGCAGCAAGAGTGGGAATAAATCAGCCTTTAAACAGCAAAACAGCATCTGGACATTTCCTGTTCACCATCTCACCCTAGCAAAGCACGTCAACCATAAGATTCCGGTTTAAAAACAGCGTCGGCTTAGCCCCTACACTTATATTCACACGGGTTTACTCATCCTGTCTTTCCTCTACCTTGGATCAGTTGGGCTTCCTCCATCCTGGCGTGGCAGCTACTGTGATGGTTTACTTGGCCTCAGATGGTTCATGGTCTGGGGAGCCATGGAGGAGAACAGTCACCATCCTCCTGTCTGACACCACTGGCAAGAATCACTCACTAGGTAATTACATTAGTTTAGCTTCTTTTACATGCTTTCTGTTCAGAAATTAGATGCTGCGTAAATCTCCAATAGTTAAACTTGTTAGAGACGTATGATGTATGCTGTTGTTTCTGTGACTAAAATCAAACCAAACCAAATAAACAGACACATTTATTCTATCCTGAAATCTATCTTTCTATCTATCCAGGGACACATGTCCTCTCATGCTATAGGAACCCGCTGGTGGTGAATGTGACCCACGATCTCTCCCAGCCCTTCTTTCCTACATCAGCTGTTATCCTCCTCTTCTCGTCCCCCTATGTGGCAGTGAGAGCAGTGGCCCTGAGGACTTCCTGCCACTTCAGCACCTTCGCCCTCACCGGGTGCGCATCAGAGGGTGGGCTCTCCCACAACTTCCTACTTCTCATACAAACACACACAAAGTCATTAAAGCTAGTTGAAATATAGTAGTTCCTATTTAAGTGTAAGAAACTAAGAGTCAGGCACCAGAATGGAAACACATCACAAAAAATATTAACGTAACCTGTGACTCCCTGTCCTCTCCGGACTTTTGTTTTCTGAAACCGAGGAGTGTTGCTCTGATCTGATTTCAGCAGAACGAAGCAGGACTTGACATTTCTTGTGTTTATCTTCTTCTCATTTCTCTGCTTCTCTCTCTTTTTCCTTCCCTCACTTTTGCAACAGTTGTCTGCAGCAGCCTTGCCAGATTGACAGCTGCAGTCCTCCACAGATAAAGCACGCTTCCATCAGGTAGGCCTTTTAGCATGAAAGACTGAGATTTCAGAATCAACATACAAAGGGCCATCAATACACCCTGTATGTGTCTCTTTAGATGTACTGGAGGAGGGGAAGCCTCCCGTTGCTCTGTGAAGTGTCACCGTGGTTACAGTATCACTGTTCTCAGTGGCAGGGGGACTCATCCATATCAGGTAAAGCCCACTAAATGTCCTAAGACTTCCATTGTAAGGATTTATTTGTCCCATTTGTTAGCAATGAATATTTGATAGACATTGGGTTGACTTTTTAATGCATTTAAACTGTCAAGTCTGATGAAAATTAATAATTTCTTTTCAAAATATTTGGAATAAGTTTGGGTGATTGGATGGACCTATCGACCAATAATGATAGAGTCAGCCCTTCAACAATAGTTTTTTTAATTGCGATTTCTATATTGTTGACACTGCCCATGACAAAAAAAACACCAAAATGCTGTTTTTAAGGGTACACACAAACTCCTTCCAGCTGCAGATTTTTCCCCTGGTACCAGCGTGCAGCATTGATTTATCTACTTAAATTTAAGACAGAAAGAAAGAACTAAACCAAATCACAGATTAGTTGTTTATTTGTTTGTTTTTGTTTTTAACAGCAGGGTTCAGTTATTCAGATAAATCAATAATTATCACAAAACTAAAATGTCTCATAACATGGTCAGAAGAACTGGAAGAAAAAAAAAAGTATTTCCACTGGACAAAATTTTTGACAAGAAAACAAGCATGTTTACCCTATTGGGTATTAGCAGTTGGCACACACTGCACAATATTACCAGCGTTGCAGAAGACGCGCTCTGAGGGTTTGCTTGTCTTTGCACACAAAACGAATATATCGTCCATCGACATTTGTTGGACGGATGAATATTGGTTGAAAAATGTTTACATATCGACCAACCTTAATTTGGAATATTTAATTCTGAGCAATAGATGAATTCAGTCACCAAAAGTATGTCAATTAAAATATATTAATTCACTTGCACTCAGTTTTTTCTTTATTTTGGCCTATACTCTTTTTGTTCCTTGTCTTACACCCAATACTTGAAATCCAGGCTTGGATGAGGAACACATCCATCTTCTATTTCTTATGAGAGTGGTGAATATTTTGATCTCTTCAAAAGGTTGAACAACATCTTGTCTAAGCCTGGAAATGTAATCGTCTAATTTACCTTATTCTTCTTTTTTAGAATTCACTAATACGATTTGTTATATAATTACTCCAACCTTGAATATGAAAATGTATCTTATAAAGCCCCAAATTAAAAGTCAAAGTTCTGATAAGCACTGTGTTCCTTTTTCTGACTACAGAGAACGATCGAGCTGGATTGTTTACATGGTTCTTGGGATCGTGTCGTCAGTTGTGAGCCTCTGGACTGTGGATTCCCTGATCAGTCTCATGTGTACCATGCCATTTTTAGCTGCCCTTGGGGAACCACTTTTGCCAAACAGTGTTCCTTTACCTGTGGCTCCCCGGCCATATTACAAGGTGACTCTGAACTTTATCGCATTCATTCCTATTTCTAACTTTATGCAAGCTAAAGTGGATCTGATATTGTTAGTCTTTAGGTCATCATCAACTATCTATTGTCACAAATGGCATTTAATATCTCAATAAATGAATACTCGACAGTTTTATGTCTGATTAACCATGCCTACTGTTTGATCATCTCTTTTATACTAGGGCTTCACAATAACAGTGGTGAGTCTAGATATGCACAGCTGACCATGTCTGCTGAGGTAAAATAGGTGTCTTTTTTACAGACTTTTAATTCATGGATGGAAAATTCACTGTAAGAATGTTGCTTCTAACATGAGCTTTTTCTTACGTCTACAAAAGCACTATATTGTGGTCTGTAAGTATGCAGGCATAGTTAAAATGTTGGCTTTTGATTCACGTAAACACATTTAAAGGTCATCATGCATCACAGAGCAGGAAAAGCACAAAAATGTGCTCAATCTTTTCCAGATTAGCTTCTTATCAACAGAACTACAGTACGGCTCCTAGGTAGTAGAATGTGAATGATGTAATAAGACCCGTAAGGCGTTTTTTAAGGCTAACGGTGTTATTACACTCATAATTACAATTTTTATTCAAGCCAAAAATTAACACTTGATTTTCCTTTTATGGTTCAATCCAAACACATATGGGTGAAAGGTCACCAACATTTATTTTCTTTCTTAATTTTATTGTGTTGTTGATGTGTAGCTTGGGGCATTTATAAGGGTTAGCTTGCAATACAGTTCTAATATTTTCAGCACACCTTAGATGGTTATGATGGGGGTATTTTTAAACAAAAAGTTATTTTCCTTTGTCTGCACATTGTTTTTATTTTGTTCAGATATGTCAATGAAGATATTTCTTTAATAGTAGTTGGTGTGGCTTTTATGATGGTTTGAAAAACTTGGTTAGTTTAAATAAAGCATATAAATATAGGCTAAAAAAGATTTGCCTTTTGCCTGTAATTACATTTGACTATCCTTCTCTTCAATTCTGTCCAATATCCTACATATCTGTGTTTCTCTACCTCTCAGGTGACAGTGATAGGCTAACGTGTTTGGAAGATGGTCTGTGGTCTTTCCCAGAGGCCTACTGCAAGATCGAGTGCCCTGAAGCTCCAAACATTCCCAGTTCCAGACTGCTCACAGCAGACTGTCTGGCTTCAGGACACGATGTCGGGTCCTTCTGTCGCTACAGATGCAGCACAGGCTTCTACGTGCGGGGGAGTCTTAAAAAGAAGAAGCCAAGGTAGGCAGCTTAGTATGCATTAGGTAGAAGGTTTCTACTCATACCCTAGAGAAAACTGGATTCCTTTTCTATATACACTGCTTTGATAGTGTGGTATATATTTATTCATTTTAAAAACTGACTTTTCTCTTTATGCACAAAGAATAAGGTAAACTCTGTGCTTGATCTAATTTGATGACAAACTGCGCATTACAGTTTGCTTTAATCAATTTAGGTACTTAAAGCAACAATTAATAGCCAAACCTGAAATTAATATAACTGGGATACATAAGAACGCCTTAGGATTGCACCTGTGTTATTCGCAGATTATGTGGTTCTATGGGCTTCATCAGGGCGAGGGATGAGGATTAGTGCCTCCAAATCAGAGGCTATGCTCTTGAGCTGGAAAAGGGTAGAGTGCCTTCTCCGGGTTGGGGAGGATGTACTGCCCCTAGTGGAGTAGTTTAAGTATCTTGGGGTCTTGTTCTTAAATGAGGGGAAGATCGATAGGTGGACTGGTGCGGCGTTTGCTGTGAAGCGTGCACTGTACCGGTCTGTTGTGGTGAAGAGAGAGCTGAGCCAAAACGCAAAGCTTTCGATTTACCGGTCGATCTACGTTCCTACTCTCATCCATGGTCATGAGCTCCGGGTCATGACCGAAAGAACGAGATCCCGAATACAAGCAGCTGAAATTAGTTTTCTCCGTAGTGTGTCTGCGCTCTCCCTTAGAGATAGGATGAGGAGCTCTGTCATCCAGGGAGGACTCAGAGTAGAGCCGCTGCTCCTCCACATCAAAAGAAGCCTGTTGAGGTGGCTCGGGTATCTGATTAGGATGCCTCCTGGACGTCTCCCTGGTGAGGTGTTCCAGGCATGTCCCACCGGGAGGAGATCAGGACACACTGGAGGGACTATGTTTCTCAACTGGCCTGGGAGCGCCTTGGGAATCCTCCCGAGGAGCTGGCCCAATTGGCTGGGGTGAGGGACGTGTGGTCCTCCCTACTAAAGTGGAAGAAGATGGGTGGAAGGGATACATAAAATAGTACCGCACCTTGCATAGCCTCTTCACCATTTCAGCAACTGATTGTAATGATAATGACTAGGTACTCATTACTGAAAAAGATGTTTGTAAGAAGCTGTGTTTAAAAAAAAAAGAGACAAAGCCTCTCGCATTGTGTTGTAACCCACATGGTATAAACCCAATATTATGATTAAGCAGCGAAATTTGAGGGTTTGTTTTTAAGAAGCTGGTCAGAACTGATGAATAGATTAATAGAGCTACAAGCAAGGCAAGGCCAGACAATCTGCTAGTCTGTAAAAGACTGGACTGCTATCCTCATCCAGCTACAGCTCCATTGTTAGCGTTTACACGGTCAAATCCAAACCCCATGCAAAGATGTAAAGGACTTGGTAGACATTCAGAAAAGATTTGTAGTGTAAAACATTAATGAAAAATATGGTTTTTAGATTTTTATATTAAAAAATTTAAAACCTCCATTAACTTATATTTAACAACTGTGTTGATATTTTTTAACATAAAAATCCCAGTGAAATACACTGAAGCTGGTGAGACTAAAAGAGAAGCAGTTCCAGGGGTGTGAATACTTTTTGAATGCACCGTTCAATGTTGTGATCTATAGTTGCCTCATAACAAACGTCAACCTATATGTGCTTGCATGAAAAGGCTATAAAACTATACAGTTTATAGGTTTATTTTCTATCACAGTTCCATTTAACAAGGTTAAGAACAATTTATTTTAGTAGTAGTTTGTAGGGGGGTGGCTTTATGAGTTACACCTTGTCAAACATACGTGTAAACTATTTAATAACCCATGATGCTTGATTAGTCCAGCATGTGAAAGTGAACATGAGCGATCATTAAACAGCCTTAAATGGCATTTTCCTCTTGACTTTAGAACGTAGACCCTTATTAACAGATATAACATATTTTTGCTTTGACATGCTGTTGGGGCCAGAGAGGGGATCTATTTTGCTCCTAATTGGAAACAGTCATATTTTTGCTATTAAATCATAAATATTTTAAATCCACAGTCTTGACTTTCTTGCGATAAACCTCTGGGAATCTCATGCTGTATCTCAGCATGCTGGGTTTACTGCACTTAATTATGCTTTTTTGTATTCTTTGTAGAACATGCAATGCGCCACATGTTTAATAGGATTTTTTGCACGTATGTGTGATAGACCATAGAGGGGTTTGATTTTAAATACTGCAATTAGGTTACATGCAAGTGGATCCTGTTACAGCCTGCATGGAGGTGAGGTTGGTGGAACTGTTGTCTTAAAAGCCTAAGTTTCACAACTGACCTGGGGTATTTCTCTCTGTGCAAGTGTGGGTTATCTCTGTGTACTCCAGCTTCCTCCCAGAGTCCAAAAACATGACTCTGATTTCTTGGTTACTTATTCTCTCTAAATTAGCCTTGAGCAAGGCAGCATGTAGGCATGATTTAGTTTGACCAGTTTTGTTACGCAAAATTAGCCAGAGAGCACTCAGAATATTTGGCCAAGAAGATAAAGAAATATACGTAAACTTCTGAATTTTGAAAAACAAAATAAAGAATACAATTTTTTTTAAAGGATTTTCTGTCATTTAGCAACTTAAATATTTTTTGTCATCCTAGCTGACTGAAAGAACAAAGATTTGAGTCTGATTTCACGTCAGAGACTGTAAAAATGGATGTGTAACATGAATTGTATTTAAATATTTGATTTTCTGTAGGAAATACTTTAAATTAGAGTGCCTGGAGGATGGTCAGTGGGAGGAAAATGGCTGTGAGCCAATATCCTGCCCAGCCCTGCCAGATGTGTTCCAGGGCATGTACACCTGCACTAACGGCCTTCACTACAACAGCCGCTGCACCCTGCAGTGCCCCGAAGCCACCGAAAATGTAACGTTTCCAGAATTTTTTCTCTGTCTATTTCCATGAACAGTAAGTTTTGCTTTACTAATCAAGGCTCTATCTGGAGCATTAATTGTATATTTTGCTTTTTCTACTTTTTAGAGGGAAATTCGCTGCAATAAGGATGGTAAATGGACAGCAGAGTTCACCATGTGCTCCAAGCTCCAGGGTTCATGCTCTGCTCCCTCCAATCTTAACTATGTTGAATACAGCTGTGACCAGGACATGAATATTGGTGAGCCAAACCCAATTTAGGTTGATTATTTTTTTGTTGCAAGTTAATTACCAAATAACTGTTCCTAAACAGATTTTTCATTCCTTTTTTAATAATAGCTGTTTTATAATCGCGTTCATGAGTGCTCTGAAAGCATTATGTTGGTGTTGCAGCATCATTTTGTCAACATTAAAGTCTTTACTTTTGTTCTGACGCTAAAAGCACTTCCAGTTTTCTTTTAGCATTCCTTGATTTCCTTCAATTTTAAGTAATTTTTGAGCTCATGCTGTAAAAACATGGCACAGACGCCATTAGGAATATCAGGAAAAAAATAAAAAATAAACATCTGGAAAGATGACTCTTTTGATCAACTGGGAGACAAGAAATTCTGAACCTGATTATAAAACCAGAGCTGACAAAATCAGATATTAAAAATCATATATGGATTCAGAGTCTTGTGGGAATCAAACAGGCTCTCCTCTCTGAGAGCCAACAATAATAGTTACCAGTTTATGTTTGCTTTTTCAAAAAACAGAGTCAAACAAATTAGGGGCTGCAGACAACTTGCCTGCTGCCTTTTGAGTTAATTTAAACCCCAACTTGGCTTCCTGTTAAGCACAATTTGTTAGTTCCTTAAAAGTTGTATTTTTGGTTATTTTTTTCATCACCCTTTTCTTTTCAGGTGATGTGTGCTACCCATCATGTGTTGTGGCCCTAAACATGGATCTGCATGACCCAGTGGTTCTATCCAATGGAACTACACCTGGAACTCTGAAGCACTGGATGCTGCCCACCACAGTACAGGTGAGAGAGACAGATGAGCTCATTGATCCAGTGCTCTGAGGAAACCTAACTTTATTCTCCATTGGTTACTTTTATTTGCTTCTTTTTAGAATTCTTTCAAATTTAGAATACATCATAAATGTCATCTTATATTGGGAAAGGCCAATAGTTTTGAACTAAAAGCAATGTCTGTCATACTGTTTAAAATCATTTTGGAGAGATTATAGAGAAACATTCCAACTTCTCCTTTCGCTTTAAAACTTTTCTTATAAGGGGATAATTTAATTAACCAGCTGATATCTGCTTATAAAACCTCATGTATGTGTACAGAAGATCAAATTTGGGTCACTTAATAAAGACCAGATCAAAAACAAGGAAATCAGATGAAAAAATTACTATATGCTAATAACAAAGCTTTTTTTTTTCAAAGCAATAATATATATACTATAGTACCTAGATAACGCCATTAGCACTGTAACCACTAGGGGGAAAATAAAAATGGTTGTTTAATTTTTTAAAATTAGCTTTATTTTCTGGATATAATAATTAACATCTAATTTGTTATTTGAATTTTTATTCTTTGTTTAAAAAAAAAAAACTTTACTATAGAATAATACACCAAGTGAGTCTCCCATTGCTTCACTAAAGCAGGGTATTAAACTAAAATGTCCATGTGTGTAGTTTTATATCAGTTTATTGTGATTTTTTTTGTCTCAAGCTATACAGGACTTAATAATAATAACATTCAGTACAGTTGAAAATAGATATATTTCAATGTTTCCCTTGTTTCAACAGAACGGAGGGAACAAAGTGCTGTAAAAATCAGCTTTCCAATCTCATCTCATTTATGTCCCAGTATATTTTATTTCTTTCCTAATGAGGCTGGACGCGGTGAAACAACAGATAGCTTTTTATTAGTTAAAATAACTCCAGTTGTGGGTTTTTTTGTTTTGCTACTATTTGGAAACTCATGGCAATTATTACTAAACTGTAGTTGTTTTTGCTTACTGGCTGCCAAGCAACTTGTACTGGATGCCATGAAAGCCGATCTGCTGACAAACAGACCTGAAAGTTTTACAGCAAAGCACCCATCAGAATGAATAATTCATGCAAACATCTGGTGCTCTGAATTGCAAGCAGCAATGAATAAACCTTGCCCTAAAAAAAACGTACCCGACGAGCACAAAGTCTGTTCACAACTTAGATGGAGGTTTAAAAATATCTGTGAAAGAAAGAAAATATCAATCAATTTCTTTTTGCCCACATGTCTAAGAGACAAAATGCATTTCATACCAGAGCTGTTGTTACAATTTTAAATTTAAATCAAAAGCAAATAAAAACATATGCAACATTTTTTTGCGTATTGCCACATACTGCAATTTACAATGCCTTAAATGTTACTATTAATCATTTTAAAGCTATCAGCAGACCTACTACAGGTTTCCTTCTAGAATTAATTCATAGTTATAAGCCTCTGATGAAGAAAAGAAACATCTCCATTGCAGCACAATTCTGCCACCACCATGTTTTGCACAGGGAATGATGTGTTGTTTCTTTTGATTCAACCTTAGTAGGCTTTTAATAATTGCAAATAGAGAAACATTAGTTGTCAGAAAATGTGGAATGAATAGACAGATATATAGCAACACCTTTATGTGGCTCAGAGAGTTGATAAGACAGCAGCTGTGGCAAGAACTCGCAGCCTAGTGTCAGACGGAGTCCCGCTATGCAGAATGTTAATAGCAGCTGGAGGCTGAGGGCCTACCTCTGTCTGCTGCTCCCAGGGATCAAAACTAGACTGGAACTAATGGATACATGCACAGCCAGATATGTTTCATATCAGATATTAGATTTAATCTTAAAAGAGTTTTCTTGAAAAATAGTTTTATTCCCTGACGTGCCAGCTAATCACATCATAAAATCCACCTTGTGTGTGTAAATGCTTGTTTGATTTAGTTCAAGTGTTTTTGTATTACTGGAAATCCGAGGGAGATAGCGCGGGTAAAGGTTTCAGTTGACGTCAAGTCTTTTAGAAACTGCACACGTCTCCCAAACACACAATGTATACAAAGCAGCGAGAGAAAGGAATGTAAGATCATGGGTCTGAGTCTCTGCACTTGTTTTGCTCGAAAGGAGGATTATGTTACTCAATAGCATATCTTAGAAATCACTTCCACGTTGATGTTGCTGCTTGTGCTGCTTTACTTTTGCCTTACTTTTGGGTGGTCAGTCAGCCAGCCAGCCTGTTTGTCCTTCTTTGCCAAGGTTAAATACTTGCACTGAGGTCTGATTACTTACGCCATATCTTTGGCACTGCCTCGCGATTTCAAGGCATTGTGTTATCTTGAAAACTTCAGAGCCTGGTCTTTATTGCGATGTCAGGCTGTACAGGAAAGCCCAAGGGGAAGATCCAGTTTCTGTATCCATATTTGCTAGTCAATCAGCTGTCTGCTGTCCACCTTGTAAATTACTGAGGTCAAATATATATCACAAGATCTCATCCTCACAAAAGTTCACTGCAAAAATGAGGAATTTTACGTTTAGGTTGAGAAAATTCTTATTATGCTGATCTCAAACTAGAGCATAATCTACCCAAGCGTTTTATCTTTTAAATGTCGCTCTTTTAAAGTAGGACAGCACAGCCCTGTTATAAAAAAGACAGTGTAAAAATATTCAAAGCTTTGAAGGGATTTTTTTTTATATATATATAATTTTCCATATTTAAAAATGCTAACTGTTATGCATATCTTTAGAATTGTATTTATTGATTTACATCTGAATAAAGGGAAAGTAATAAAAAAAATCCCTAGTATGTTTATATTCAGCTTGTTTTTGTTCATTCTTCTCAATCAAACTAAAACATCAAAATTATTTCAGAAATCATCCAACTAGTTAGCTCCTGTACAGTATGTATTAAATCTCAGTAAAAATCCAGCTGTTCTGTTCAGGTATTACAGGTTTGTTAGAAAATATAAGTGAAAATTAGGCGTCATGGAGACCAAAGGACCCAGTTGACAGGTTTAGGATTGTGTTATGGACTACTGGAGGGCATGCTTGGGTTATAAAACATTAGAAGCTTTAAATAACTGTCCAGCTATAAGTGGTACATTCCACAAATCATGGCACAATGAGAGGGACCAGGAAGAAAATCATAGCCGTGAAACAGCAATAAGAAGTTTCATTTGTGATGAACTTTGTAGGGAAGTCCGCATATGGAAGACGGTTCTCTGATAACTTTTTCACAGTATCAATGTGTGGTGGTAGCTGCAGGATTTTTTCTGAGGGTCATTTCAGGCTTGGATATTGAGGATATTAGAGCTGATCTAAGGAGAATGGCTGGAGCAAAATAAAGGAGAATCAAAGATGTATCTTGTGAGCCTCCCAAAATTTCAACAGAACATTGCTGGCGCTCCAAGGGAAAATTTGAAACAACGCGAACATCTCCAGCTGGAAAAACACAGAGGACGACAGACATTTTTACTGACGAGGGTTTGTCAATATAAACATCTATACAAATTAAAAATATTACTATGATCAACAGATTGAGAAGGACTTTTGGAAGAAAAAATTCTGTCACTCTTTGCTGAAACAAAAAGACTTTGAAAATTAAAAAAACAGTGTTTCTACTTCTACATGTTGTGTGGTGTTATAAGCACGCCGTACACATCCCCCTACAGTCGACCAGAATATTAGGTACATGAGGAAAAAGCTGCAAATGCAGTTTTCCACATGGACCTTTGTGTGTCGAGCAAACAGCAATTTTAAACGTGATATTTGGTTTAAATTGAAGCATATTCCTGTGTAAGAACGGCTCAGTCCAAATCTTCAGTTATTATTTAAGAAGAATGAGCAAGATTACTCTGTAAATGCAGAAAGTTGGTGTAGCAAACACACTGGCAGAAAAACAAACACACTCTGCACTTGTCAGATAAAAAAACAAACTGTTCTTTTCATTTTATAATCATGCAGTACACGTATTTTGAGTCAGTGACTCAAAATTACTTAAATGGGTATAGCACTTTGACAAAGCAACTTATCTACCCATAGCTATGCCCATATGAATATTGTATTATATACCAATAATAAGGCAACACCTTTGAGTGTTCTAATTGTTTTTTTTAGCTATCTAGAATTTAATGTCAACATCACAGAAACTCAATTAAACATGATTTTGATTAAATGCTATGCAAACATTTCAGTAAATACTTTTATATGCTTTGTGTTTGTTTTTAGAGCATAATTTGCACCGGGAAGATGAACTGGTATCCTGACCCTGAAAACATCCACTGTATCCAGTCATGTGAGGTAAAAGCAAGGGAGTTTTGGACATACAACATTGTTTTCCTTTAAAGTATATATTTGCTCACTAAAGCCAACACTGAAAGAAAACAAAATTCCATCCAAATTTCAGTCTCACCAAGGTTTTAAGCTCATAACAGCATCTGTTGTAGTGTAGACTGATTGTTTTGCCAAATACCATGATTCACTAGAGTAGAGTGTGCCTGAATTAGCATTTTTATCTTCTGCCTGTCACAGATTGGATATTTTTAGAGCATTTTAAAATGTGAAAAACAAAACTGTAAAAAAGTGAGACTAGTGTGGATTTACTTTGGCATATATCTATGGTATTCTGGAACGTATAAGATGTCACCTTCAAAGAGACTTTAGTTCCTCTTTTCATTCTGTGTTAATCCTGATAAGTAGAGGTTTTTGTTTTACTTAATTAGATTAAACCATTTTTTAGAAATAACCTCATTAGATGTTGTGGCCCCGGCCAAACCCTTCCAGTAATACCAAACATGAGGCAAAACACACTCTGTCCTTGTTGTCATCACTACTTAAAGTACTGGAGCCAGTGCAATATGGTTCATATTTCACAAAGAAAAATCTCATGCTGAAACTGATATCCTCGCATTGTACTTCAGAAGAATCCTTTTAAAATATATCCAAAGAGCTTTCCTTCCAGAGAGTCTAACGTTTCCAAATGTTTCTGTGCCTGCCAAGCCTAATGAGTTATCTGATAAAGGAAAATGAATTGATCACTGGATTCTGTTAGATATGGAATAATTATTTATCCTGACACAATGTTTTTAAATTTTTCTGCTTTGGTTTAAAAAAAAAATCACAGTGCATCCAAGAGCTGGTCTTTAGAGAAAGGATTACTTCCTGTTGTGTGACACTCTGGCACCATCAGTTTTCTAGTAAATGTATGGATATTTGTAAAATTCTACAATTCAACTCCCCCAATCATCCCACCCTTTAAAAAACAAACAAGAAAAAGAAATTTAGAAAAATGTAAAAAAAAACCTTGAGTAACTGAAAACCAGTCTGGAAGCCTGTTCGCTCATCTTCCATCTGTCCTTCCGCCCATCCATCTTCTACTGCTTTTCTATCAAATAAAATGGTTCTGATGCTTCTTTAAAGCATCTATGGGCGAAAGGTCAGGTACAACCTGGGCAGGTCATCGGTTAATGGCAGAGCAGCACTGAGACACACAAACATGTACATGCAACCTGACAATGTAGGGCAATTTAAAGTCAATACTTGCATTGATCAGTCCTTTTATCCATCAAACATTGGTCCCTCTATCTATCTGTCTTTTCATCTGCCCAACTGTTCTTTTATCCATCCATCCATACATACAGTACATACATTCATCCATATATCCATCCATCCATCCATCCATACATACATACATACATACATACATACATACATACATACATACATACATACATACATACATACATACATACATACATACATACATACATACATACATACATACATACATACATACATACATACATACATACATACATACATAATTTGGTTTGTTTTTCCCATTCATACAATTCAGTTCCACAACTCGTGCAGCAATCTTTAGTAAATAAAAAGCTGACTCAATGTAAAGTCTTTGCAAATTAGCTAAGAACTCTTTATTCGCCAAACAGACCTAGGAGTTTTCAGTCTATAGGGATTTATGTGACACAATTTGGATCATTTACTCAAGGCTTTGTATTTTGGCACTACTTGGACCCCATCATTTCCCGTATTGTACTTATAAGTGGCTTGGATCCGATGCCAGGCTTCCTGCACCCTGCTCATATATATTTTCGTTAGTGAGCCACCAACTCCTGGAATTTGTAGCAATCTTTATTCATTATATCATTTATTATTATTATTATTATTTTATTTATCCTTTATTTAACCAGGTAATAATAACCATTGAGATTAAAAATCTCTTTTGCAAGGGAGACCTGGCCAAGATAGGAATCAAAATTACATCACATCATTACATACGTACAAACACACATACCTAAAAGCCAAATATGCACTTACAATAAAATTTCAATTAAAATATTGACATGTGAGGGAGTCCAACTCAAAAATGTATATATTATATTATTTCACATGGACTAATTTGCCGACTCTGGAACAAGCAGTTCCTTTTTAAAACAAAGGATAGAGGCATTGGTACTTTTAAGTGAAATGGTCTAACGGTTAGACCATTTCACTTAAGAGTACCAATGCCTCTATCCTTTGGTTGGTTAGACTCTAACCAACTTGACATTTAAATTTTTAGTATACTAATCATAAAATAACAGCAATAATGTAATTCATTATTTACATTAATATAGTAACTTTTAAGATGACAACCAAAAATATTTTTTTTATCTTTTCATAAATAGGTGGAGAACAGGAAGCAATGTCTCTGCAGTGATCTAGGAGTCTTCTGTAATTAGAGATTAGACTGCTAAATATATAAATATTTGTAGGCCATTTTTAGCAAAGGTTTCATGAAAATCTATTTTGTTTTCTTTAATTTAGTTGGAGATTCAGATTCTGTGCCCATCATCTTCCTGTTTGTACAATGTAATTAGTGCAGACAGACTGGTTTAGGTGCCTTATCCGTTTTCAGCCTCCTCTCAGTGCAAATTGATCCCTGCCTGTCCATCCCTAGGAAAATGTTCTGGCTCCACCACTGGATGTGCCTCATGGCTGCTCATATTTTTATTCACCGAGTTTCGTAGAATATGGGGGAGGTTTGGCAACCTTTTTTAAATCAAATTTTGAATGTAAACAGGTAGCGTTCTCAACAACATTCCCCAGATTTGAACTGAGTCTGGGGACGCTTAACTCCAATGTTGTGCGCAGTCTATCACACACTAAAGTACATATACCCTCTACATGAATTTTATTTTCTGACTTCTTTGGTGAATTACCCCAATGTATGAGCAACCTTTAAGTGTTGGAGATTTTAATATTTATATGTGCTGCCCTGTCAAGACTCTGAGGAAGGACTTTATTTTTTTTTTTTTTTAATTTATTGGACACTTTTGGCCTGATTTAATCAGTGAACAGCACAATCCATGACAGTGTGCATGCTTTAGACCTTGTTTTGCCTTATGGTTTAATTTGAAAATCTATGATTCACTGTTCTAGGATTACATGCCTGTTTTATGAGTTTTTTTTTATTTTCCTCTTAATCATTTGATTAAACCCTGTGTGCTGGCTGCCGAGTTAGTAATACTTCTGTTGCTTCTCATTTCTCTGCTGTTTTTAGTTATTTGATTTGAAGTCCACAGGGTGTTCCTCAACTGAGATTTTAGAAAAACATTTTACTCTTTAGTGAAGTGCTATTTTTAATTTGGTTTGACCGATTAAATCCAGACAATCAAAACCCAGATTAGAGCCTTGGTTAACTTACCATAACAGGTCCATTAGACAAATAGTTGAAAAATGAACTAAAGTTGAGAAAAGATAAATTACTCTCTTTTGAGGCACTGAGAGAACAGTTTAATCAAAAGGCTATGGAAGATGCTAGAAAATATTTTGAGATTTTTTTTATTCAAACTCTCATAATCCTACCATTCATTTCAATACAATTAACACTGCTCATAATGGCCTTGTTTCCAAAGAATCCTATATTAGTTTTGGACAGAGGTGTCAAGTAATGAAGTAGAAATACTTCGTTATGAACTGAATGAACAAAATATTCTCATTGAATACTTTGTTCTGTGCAAATTTAAATGTGCTGAAAACAAAATCAAACAAAAATTATCAATGAAAATCAAATTTATTAACTAATGGAGGCCTGGATTTGGAATCGAACACAAAATTAAAGTGGAAATACACACTACAGGCTCATCCAACTTTGATGTAATGCCCTTAAAACAGGTCAAAATGAGACTCAGTATTGTGTGTGGCCTCCTTGTGCCTGTATGATCTCCCTACATTGCCTGCACATGCTCCTGATTAGGTGGCAGATGGTGTCTAAAGGGATCTCCTCCCAGACCTGGACCAAAGCATCCTCCAACTCCTGGACAATATGTAGTGCAGCATAACATTGGTGGATGGATCGAGACACGATGGCCAGGGGAACAGGCAGGCCAGTCCATAGTTTCCATGCCTTCATCTTGCAGGAACTGCTGAAACACTCCAGCCATATGAGGTGTAGCATTGTCCTGCATAAGGAGGAACCCAGGGCCATCCGCACCAACATGTGGTCTCACAAGGGGTCTGAGGATCTCATCTCGGTACCTAATAGCAATCATGCCACCTCTAGTAAGCACATGGAGGGCTGTGCAGTCCTCCGAAAAAATGTCACCCCACACCATTACTGACCCTCTGCCAAACCGGTCATGCTGAAGAATGTTGCAGGCAGCAGATTGCTCTCCACAATTTCTCTAGACTGTCATGTCTATGACGTGTGCTCAGTGACAACCTGCGTTATCTGTGAAGAGCACAGGGTGACAGTGGGAAATGTGACTATCCTAGTGTTTTCTGGCAAATGCTAAGCAAGGTGTTGGGCTGTGAGCACAACCCCTGTCTCCAGACGTGGGGCCCTCATACCATCCTCATGGAGTTGGTTTGTTACCGTTTGTGCAAAGATATGCACAGGCCTGCTGTCACTCTGGCAGTGCTCCTGCCAGGGCTTCCTTACACAAAGGCAGAGGTATCAGTCCTGCTGCTGGGTTGTTGCCCTCTTATGGTCTTCTCCATGTCTCCAAGTGAATTGGCCTGTCTCCTGGTAGTGCCTCCAGTCTCCGAACACTACGCTGATAGACACAGCAAGCATTCTTGTCTCAGCTCGCATTGATGTGCTTTCATGGATGAGCTGCACTAGCTGAGCCATCTGTGTGGGTTGTAGAGTCCAGATCATGTTACCAGGAGTGTGAAAGCACCACCAACATTCAAAAGTGACCGAAACATCAGCCAGAAAGCATAGGTACTAGGGTTGTCACGATACTAAACTTTTCAACTCGATACCGATACTAAGTAAAATATACTCGATACCCTTT